GGGGGGGGTTAGTGTGTATATATATATATATACATATATTGAGTCTATTATAATATGACATAAATTTAACTTAAAGTACATTTACATAAATGTAAAATATTAATACATGTCCATAATTACTAGTTATTACTAATTTATTAGTAAATAATTCTCTTAATTCTCATCACGTTTATGTATATATTCATGCAAACGTATTATTCTGCATTACATATATGTATATAAATATAATAAGATTATATTATACTTTATATATTGCAAATGTGTTACGAATAATCTATAGCCTTTGCTATTTATCTACTAACATAATATTTTGACGGATGACGCTGAATCTAGACAGCTCTTTAGGTAGCTGAACATCGTAGCGTGCTTTTGTATAAAGCGAGAGATGAATCTATTGTGAGAATGAGGATAAGATTAGATTAAACAATACGTTGGATTCTGGTTGCCTTGAGACTAAAATTCCACATATAATTGACACGAAAATATGGCGTGGTGACTTCAAATCTTGCTGTCTCCGAGATCTTATGATAACATTTTTCTACATAAAGTCGTCGTATTAAGTTAAATAAACCTGAAATAGTCGCTGCAAATATATGTACAATGTTCTAAAAAAAGAATACCCATCTCTCACCATATAATGAAAGTGCTCCAAGTCCCGTAAAAAAATTACAAGAATAAAATATAATAAATGCATTTTTCCCCTGTTTTATTAAAATAAATATTTCAAATACATGCAAAGATATTACCGCATGTGTGTATTTTTACGATTAAGACAACAGCTTTTAGAAATAAGAAGTGATAAATTGACATGCAAATTTATCATGACATGATCCATTTATCAATACTTACAAACTTATTAATTTTGATAAAACTTTGTTTTTATATAAAATGACAAACTGTGAGTAACGAGATACGTTTTATTTATGTTCAATCTTTAAATATACAACATCGAATGTTAAATCTAAAAATTTCAAAAAAGAGAATTTTTTGTATAAACGTGTGTTTTTAGAGTTTATCCAAAACTTCAATTTTGCAACGCTGAATTTATTATCATCGCAAACACGTCACCTTATCTGTTATTATTTTAAGAATATAAGCGAGAAAACGAAAGAAAGTTTCCTTTTACCTTTAAGATTTAAAGGCTATTGAGCATGGATAAAAGATATTGCTATTCATATCTTGAGTCACTCTATATACTTACAAAGTTTTATCCATTGATGAGTTTGTGTCGAGTAAAGAACGAAGGTAGAAAGATATTTTTAGTAAGGAATGCATAGAAAGTGCTGATGGAAAGCGTGTCCTGTCGTATAAAATATTCTATTTCCGGCGAGAAAAATAAATGACTTCAACCTTTTGCAGTCAAAAGCGAGATATCCGCATCACAATATTGTTCACCGGACCTTTTATTCTAAGAAAATCGATACTGTCTGTATTTGACGTATTGGATTAAACAATTCGACAATTTGACGCTGTCTGCCCGAATCGTTAGACGCGACACCATGCGTTGTCAATAAGATAGTTTTATTAAATTTTTGTAGCAGATTATACAAGAAAAAACATGGAAACATAGAAAATTGCATACTTTATTATAAATAAAAAATATATAGAGAAAAGATTTTAATAAATTTCTCTTTAAGTTACTAATGTTTCGTGTATAGGTATTCTAAAATTATTATCGTATTTTATTCAAGTGGCAGACAAACGACAGTCGAGTCGTCAGTTGTTTTATGCAAATTACTAAACGGGCGATGTTTAATTACGAGATGTCCTTTCTATAAATGTACAAAAGATACTCACCCGAATTGCATGGAACTAACTCTGAACGTTGAAACCCCGCCAATTCTTGAGCTTCATGGCGTCGCACATTTGTCCGACTCGTCAGACAGTAGCATTTACAGATTACCAGTTCAAAGTAAACTCGAAACCTGAAACAGTGAGTATTCTATGATGCGCACGGCTGCATTTGTGTGTAAATGATGCTTCATTCATCCAATTAACCAAATCAAAGCGTAAATGAATATTTGTGAAAGATAACGCGTGTGCCCGTGTACATGCATAAAATTTCAAATTAAATCAGAGAATATTGTATAATATCAATTAAATTGATTTAAATTTACAATTTGAGATTGGATATACAATAAAAATACTCTTCTTCATTTGACATATACATATATTTTACAATTTTTACATCTACCATTTCGCAATTGAATGATTATATAAATCTCATAAATTTTTTTTCTCAAAAATTTTAAACTTAAACAATTTGTGTGATAAAAAATAGTATTTATGAATATTGTATAGAGATTTTTAAGTAGAAAAACTAATTCTTTGATTGATAATTTATTATTAAAAAACAGAGATTAAGATTCTTAAAAATTAAAAAGTTTACAATTTTAGTAAAATAAAAATTCTTTGTTTTAAATAAGTTTCTTTAATTTTTTTGTTAAATTTTTCTTACTGAAGATATAATTAGAGTAAATAACATTTATTGATTTGTTATAAATAATGACATATAGAATGTATTGATTTTCATAAACATAGTTCAAACAAACAATGTACTTTTTTATTTGATTTAAGCGCAAACCTAAGTTTCTTGATAGCTCATTCGGAATACTCAGAGAAATTCAGAATAAACTGTTTTTTTTTTCGATAAATAATATATACGAAAATAATCTCAAACGTAGATTGCTTACTATTAAGTATTTAAGTTTTTCATTTAACTTATAAAACTGTGTGTTATTAAGTTGTTAATATTCCATTTTCAAAAATTAATCTTGTTTTTTTTCTTAACTTTATAAAAAATCGAATATCTTAACATTTAATTGAAATAGAAATTTAACATTAATTTTAGCAAATTCTTAAAATTTTATTAACATCACAGAATAGTTGTAATTTCATTAATATTATAAATCTAGTATAATTTTAAAGAATTATTAACATCACAGAATAGTTGTAATTTTATTAATATTATAAATCTAGTATAATTTTAAAGAATATCACTTATATCGAAAAATTGCACGCTTCCTCTGTACAACCACTTTTTTTGTCGGAGGTAATCGATCCATTTCAATCGTTCGACGGTGAGCGATTCTCTGAATTAATCAATTTCTGAAGTAATCGAATATTACAAATGTGCAAATACTTCTTCATTGTATAGTTCGATTAGTTCGATCGAAGGCATTTCAAGACCATGACCTAATAATTATTTCACGTTCTTACTGATAGATATCCTGTCGAAAAAAATAAAAACAGAAGAAACTTTTTGACATAAACTTGACAAATAGTAAAAAACTAACAGTAATATTTCTTCATAAATATAATAATAATTACGTATTATTTAAGTAAAAAATATTAAAAAGGTATAAAAATAAATAACAATTTCCTGTTGTCATACAAATTAATTTCTGAGATAGGATTTTCAATTTTGCTTTTTAAAACTATGTATTATATATTGTGATATAAGTTATTATGACATTATTGACTTTAATTAGAATTAAAATTGCTCATTAATATATAAAACGATAAAATAAAATTATTTCCTTTCATCAACAAATAAACATGAAAATTGAAAGATCAGCGTTGCGCATTTCGTTAATCAATTTCCTTGTTTTTGCAATTTATAAATGATAACACATCTGTTGAATGTATTATCTGTTGCAGACTACTTGTGATCAATCAGAATAACAGTAAAATCCAGAAAACGTGCCTTCAGTTGATTTTACAGAACCGTCATTTTATGAAATCCATTTGTGATTGTTACGCGATTGCGCGATATTAAATTTCACAGAAATAATGGAATTCACGCAACTCTGTGTATTACGGGAAAGTAGTACATATCGCTCGTTAAATATGCAATAGTGGAGAATGCAAATATACACTCTACTATTGTTCTTTCATAATGGAAGATGTCAAATCTATAATGAAATCTATAATCAATTCAACACAAAATACCAAGTCATAGAAATGTTTTCTATTTACGCTCAGTTTAATGGAACAGGTAGATATTTTTCATTGTCAAAAGTTCGTTAAAAGTGATAATAAATACTATACTATTTCCAACACTAACAAAATTTTACATAAAATCACACAAAACTTTATTTCAAAATAAATTTAATTTAAGGTTTGTATTAATGTTGTGTTAATAATATAGATAAAAATATAGTGATACCGCTAATTATATGATAATGACAATTTATTATAGTTGATTAAATTTTAAACTTATCAAATCTTTTATTAAAGATTCTTTATTTAAAAGATTATACTTGTTTCATAAATAAATTTTTATTTATTTAACTTTATTAAAAACATGCTTTCTAAAATTTTTGCGGCATTGTTTTCTAATATATGCTTTTCTGTTATAAGCTACCTCTTATTAGTCAAAGTACGTTTAATTATTTTATATTATACTTCTGAAAGCGTTAGAATATATATAACTAATTAAATCTTTCCACTAATTTCTCTCTATCATTCAAAATTATATTATATCAGATGCAATTATTGTGGATATATAATTATCGGTGATACACGCGAAAGATTATTGAACATCTCGGCACTAATAGGAACACCTAAGGGTGTAAGTGATAGCAGACGTTAATAACAAGATTTCTTCTGGGTGCAATAAAAAAGAAGCAAGGATATCTAATGGCGACGATCATATTGCGTTTGTTAGACGCGATCCGTTTTCGGATAAAAAACTCAGCGGGTGGAATTTAACTTCTATTTTTCATTTCATGCATGAACGCATCACGGCACAAAATAATAATTGCACTTTAAAAAAACACGAATAAGTTTGATGACCCAGTTAATGACGGTAATATTGCAGTGATGATATTGCAATTATTGCAGAATACTTAAATAAATCTAATTCGAACATTCAATGTTATGTACACCGGCGAAATAGTTAGGCTGTCGAGAATCGATACGCAAATGTGGAAATGTATAATTAGAATGTAAACTGAACCTCTGTGGTTAACCAAGGGATCAATGCTACTCGCGTTATTGATTAAGGAAGCAACCGCCGACTGGTTTGTTCTCTCAAAATTTTGTGCAAGTTTATAATCATTAGTAATCGTTTTTATAACAAATATAATAATTGTTCTGTGAAAAAAAATTTCCACGTAATTTTTACTATATTAAAGTCTTATTATTTAATAAATTAGTCTTCTTACTAAAGTCTTTTTTTTTATGTTAAAATGTAATTATTGATAAAAATTAATTCATATATTTTTTGCGAAGAAAGCGATTAATTTATAATATTTGTTTCGAAACAATATTAAATATGTCAGTTATTTATTTTTGGATAATTTTACGTAAATATTTGCAGTAAAGTTTTAAGATAAGAAATTATGTTTTGACAGCGTTAATCCGGGAGTCCTGTTTTCTTCTCTTAAATTGTTAGACACTGCTTTATGTAATACAGACTTGTCCAATTTTTCAAAGTATACCGATTGATTGAATTACTAGGATTTACGTAAATCTCATTTGATTCGTAAAGCTTGGATTCAATCGGTTTAATGTTAACGCAAAGACTACACTTTTATTTCACACATCGTGCGGTTATTTCATTGCACACTTGTCAATATATTGCAATCTTGTTTGCAGCAATCTTAATCTCGAACCGTTCTTCGTTTCATTTATCACTTTTTAGACATAATAAATCTGTACGCTTCTGGAGATTACATTCAGTTCATCAACTATGTTACAGGCATATACACATAATTAGAGTACATAGGAGCATATGTATAATCGGATGTTTGGGTCAGATTTATATAAATCTTTTTTAATAACCATTATATCGTTTTCCACCATTAATTTAGCTGCAAAACTTGGTTTTATCTCTTAGAAATGCGCTCATTAAAATGTTTTTATAAATCAAAGACGCATTAATGCATAAAATATAAATAAAAACTTATATTTTATGCTTTAAGACGCATATTATTTAGTTTTGTTACATAAACTGTAAAAATTTAAAGTGTAAAAATAATATTTGATTTTTTTTAATTATTGGAAACTAAACGCTAGTATCTATGAATTTTCCAAAAGCATCAAGAATCTTAAAATATAATAAAATGTGATAACTTTATTTTTATTACAAACTAATTTTTTAATTTTCTGACTTATATAAAATTATTTAAAAAATCTTTTAATCGATTTTATAAAACAAACACAATAAATTATAATTACAAACAAACACAATATTTTATAAAACAAACAAAATTGATTTATATAACTATCTTTTTAGCAAAAATTCAATATAATTCATATTTCTAAAATTTAAATGTTATTTATATTATAAAAAAGAATGCAATACCTGTTATTCATCCAGCAATATATGAGTGGATTAACCATAGAATTGGACATTGCGAGCCAGTAGAAGCCTAAATATATGTGTTGTATGTAACTCTTTTCTACATAATGACGATAATGATACACAAAAATGAAGAACCCCTGATATGGTAACCAGCACACCGCAAATATTATCACTACAACGATAAACATTTTTACAACCTGTAACAAGTAAAGAAAATATCATAAAACATGTGCCTACTTAATATATGTTTTTCTTAACTGCAAATATTTCGACGAATTTAAAATCGTTTAAATAGTTTTAAAAATCAAATTTATATTTTAGAAGAAATTGTATAAAATTTGTCTAGTAGTGATTTATCAAGTTTGTAGTAAATTTTGACAAATGGTTGTATTTGTACAGTTGCGTAAAGACAATATTTGCAAGAATCGTTTGCAGATACAATTATTCCCACTTAATTCGGTAACTTATATTCAACAAGGTCCATTGTAGCATGCTGTGTTAAGCACAGATATTAAGGAAGACTTAATGGAAACCTATTGTTCTCAAGTTTGTAGCTAATAGGCAACTATACAACATTCGTGTTGTGTTTACAATTAGTTATTAGTGCGATAATACTGAACGCATTTTAAGGTTTAATTTAAAATACGAAAGTTAATGCTTAACTCATATCATATATTTGCTTTTGATTTGCGTGCAGATTCTAAATAAACTTCCTGTTTTATAACCGTGACTTGACCTAGTTTTATTAAAGCACATTTTTAAATTTTCCGCCCATTGAATCTCGAGGATTTCTCTTACATTTTTTTTCGAGAATTTCATTTATAGTTGGTTTTCTTAAAAATGTTAACACATCTTTAATTTTCGAAAGAATTTAAGAGATTGTTCGATATAATGCAGTAATATGCGGAAAAATGTTTCCCCTTTCAAACTTTAATGGATTGCGATCGTTTATCTACATACTTTGCACATTATTTACATCGAGACATTGCAAAAAATATTACTTAAATGTAAAAAGTTGAAATCTCGGTAGCATACCTTGCGCTTAGATCTCATTGATTCTCTCTGGTAGTGAGTTAATTCACCGATAGATTGTGAACCCCATAACTTTAGTCCCATGCATGTATAACAGACAGCCATCACTGTCATGGGAATCAGATACGTAACGGTGAGGAATAGGAGATTGTAGCTGTAGAGCAAATGATTTATATGAAACTATAAAAAGTGCCGACACATTGTTATCACACCGAGTTTTATTAAAACCGTAACTCGCTTCTAAGATATACGCGTCTAGCAACGACGATTACTCAAGAAGAACGGCAGAAAATCTGTCTTTATTAATTGAGGTATGCTCAAGCTTAAAATGCAATATAGCAGTAATAGCTACATACAATCTACTTTTCTAGATTAGTATGTTATATATTTAAGAGCATGCTGCAAAAGAATTTATCTTCGGATTAAACAAATTTCAATTTATATGATTAATCGTAATTTATAAATTTAAAACTCGAACACATAAGATTACACGATCCTATAAAATAACAACTCATTTTTATAAAATAAATAAGTTGCTTATATCTTGCGTGAATTATTTACACCATTTTTTTAGGAATTAATTATAATTCCAATTAAAAATAATTAGATGTTACATATAAATAAATTGTAACAAATAAAATTTATTTAATGGATTTTTTCTTAATATTTGTGAATTACAAAATGTTTCGTACGAAGTATTCCGTGAAACACAAGTAATAAGAAAATCAAATACAATATATAAAAAACATCTAATATTTTATTCAATTAAAATATTGCAGGAATAACCATAAAAATTTTTGATTACTTTACTCAATTCGAGACATCGAGATAACATGGAATCGTTATTAAGAGACGCAAGTTTTATTAAAAAAGTTTTTATATGCCTTTGCAATCACAGTGACTGTTTGATATAACAAGAGTTTAAATCGATAACTTAAATTGCACATAAAAAGAACATTCTGTGAAATTGCTTGAGATTTGATATGGACAAAACCCGTACAGAACTTGACTTATCATCATGTTGAGAATTGTATATCAACTCTCTGCTGAAGTGTTTCGAATTATCGAATTTTGCACTATTAGATTCTGCGAAATTGTTGTATCCGTTGTTAAGTAGATTCTACTTGAAGACATTTCGTAGATACGCAGAAAGAGAGATATGTATTCTGTACGTAAACTTCAGTGATGTAAAACAAGAGTGTATCGTGATAACGACTGTAAGTTTCCAGACTATTCGACAAATGAAAGTTTTGAAGACATCTAAAGTTCTACTCGCATGATGTATACAAGATACCCTTCTGAATAACTTGACAGAGATTTCATCCGCTTTCAAAGAAAAGAAATAGGTATTCCTTATTTGATTCGGAATTAGAAAAGAACTTTTTTCTTATAGATTTATAAATAAGATCATTATGATCATTGTTATTCACAATTTTAGTTTCTGATAATTCTAATTTTTGATAAATTAATTACAAAATTTTTAGTCAATCTTGCAAACTTGTCAAGAATATGTGATGAGTAAAATATAACAAAAATAATACAAAAAATTAGTATTTATTTTCATAATTTTATCTATTTCCGTCTAGATTTATTTGTTATATAATTTTTACATACTTCTCGTAATAGCTTTTTCTTTATAAAGAAGAAAAACAAACCTTCGAACCTTCTTTAAATTGGTCTCGTCTTGTTTACGAGATCCGCACACAAAAGAAAAGCTGAATCGTATTTAATATTGACTCTCTCTGTGCCCTGTATCAGTTCCTCCTCTTCCCACCTTTCTTCTTTTGTCAGGCAATATAATACGCACTTTAAATCGATTTTGCTAAGTTTCGGAAACAATATTTAATTTCGAAGAATGCTTATCTGAAAGAAGTAACTTAACTTTTTGAGAATTGAATCGCTATTTACTCAGAGAAAAATCTAAACTTTCGTATTATCGGATATTATATAAGCAGGATATGTATCGTATGTGTTTTCTCCTAAATGTCATTTATTTAGCAAACTTGTTATTCTCACAAACAACGAGTTTGATCTTTTTTTCAACAACTTTTTAATTATCAGCAGATAGTTAAACCATAAATTCTATTAGCATAAAGTTATTAATTTCCTAAATGAAGATTAATCATGGAGTAACGCTTTTTAGATTTTTTGTCCATATTCTGGGATACATTGCATACTACATTTGCATACTACATTTACCTACAACCGAGTTAATCCATTTATTTATATTAACAATTATCCTGTAATCTCAATATCCTGTTTCGAGTGACAATAGGTTATAGTAGGCAGCAAACCGACAGTTAGGTCCTTAATTGCTAATGACTCCCAATTGACACAAACAATGGCGCCCATGACAAGGGATCAAATATAATCATTCGAATTAGACCGAACCATTGCTTTCATTATTCCCCGGCGATATGTTGATAGCAGGGGCACAACAATTTCCTGTCTTACTTTCTTAGAGTAATCGTCGATTCAATCTCTTTCGCATTCCTAATAGCGTTCGCGGCCCGCGTACACAGTTTACAGGAACTTCTTTCCGCACGCGATTTCACGTGCACGACATTCCTAAGGAGCGCCCGATAATGCCAATTCCGTGCACAAACTTACAAATTTTTTTAAATTACACCGAGATTCATAGAAGATTTCACAAGAAGATCATCGTGCAATAAAGCTCACTTACCAATATTCCCTCGTGCTATTTAAATATCCGCCGTCGGGCCACAGCAGGTAACAGGCGATTCTGGTCGTTCCATTAGAATATCTGCAATTGACTATTCATTAGTTTCTCCTCAGCAATTGGAAGCTAATATGAATAATGGTTGGAGTAATAAATAATATCTGGAGAGAGAGAAAGACATTAAAAAATATCGAATCGATTATTGCGAGTACGCTCTTTGTACATTCAAATATCATCAAATATTAATAAAAGTTGAAAGTCTTTTAAGTTCCTCAGAGTGTTATCAAAATCAGGGACGGTAAAACGAGGGGGATATAAAAAGAGAAACAATGTGAAAAGCTGAAAGCTATTTGTACGGAACATTGATCACACATGGAACACGTGAAGTATATAGATTTTGGTAAAAAGACGCATGAAAATATAAATCTTATTTGTCATAAAAACTTAATGGAAAGAAAATTTAATAATAATAAAGTCATCTCACGCGTGGGTTTGCACGCATCATTTTATTTTTATAAAATATTGCTTGTTTTTTTAAATTAAATACATACAATTTCATTGCGTGCAATATTCGATATTTAACAATTTGCAATAGCTTATTTATAGGTAGTAAGATACAAGAGTAATTTATATTCTTTATTACATATAAAATTGTTTTTAACTGATTAAAATTCATGAAAAATTTTCTTTGAAGAAGAAAAATCTGTTAACTTTAAAAACATACAAACAGCTTTAGAAGCATAAGGTCGGCTTTAAGGATAGAGTATGATCAGCTTTAGGAGTCAGCAAAGCAAACACAAAATATGCTTAGAATGAGAAAGGTGAGACTTATAAAATTAATATTTCCATTACATATGTTTCTTATTAATTTTATCAAATAAATACGAATTTTTCTTATTTTCTAAATTACAACCTCCTTTGATTTCTTTTCTTCTAAATATTGCGTTGTCCAAAGGATGGAATAAACGGAATAAATTGCAAATACGAAAAAAAGTCATAAGCAAAGAAAAAAATTCATAGGCCAAGAAAGGGTCAGCATTTCTATTTGCTCGGGATAATAAGAAACTTAGAGTGTTGCCTGGCTGCGAGCAAACTATTGAACAAATACGCCGGCAATACGAATAATGCTCTTACAGTGCTCTTTATTAAAATAACAAAATACTACAATTTTTAAAAATAAAACAACTTAATAAGTATTAAGAAAACTTGATCTTTACTTAAATTTCTTTGATTAATAGTATTTTGATTTAAACAACTTCTGGTTTGTTTACTTATTTTAATTAGTTGTTTGAGCAAAAAATGTAATATGCTTTATTTTATCTTCACGTACTCTGTAATGACTTATATTGATTTTAAACATTTAACAGGAAATTGAACAAATACATGTAACATAATATAATGCATAAATCCACGCATAGTCCGTGAAGATAAAATTTTTGTAAACCTAAATACTTTATGTGCATTGATGCAAATAATATTATACTCGAGCAGATATGCATAAGATATTGCTAATAATATTAAAAATATTGTTCTTAAAACACAAAAAAATATAAAAAGTTATAGAGAGAGAGAGAGAGAGGTAAAACATGGTAAAACAACACAACTAGCTAAATTTTACGCGCAAAATATCATAAAGATTACACTCGATATAATTTTATATCTACAATTTCTAAAATTAAACACAAAAAGTGTAAAAAATTTATAGGTAAAACATTACTCGACACACGCATTCCGTATTTAGTCCAAAATTACATGATGTAAGTGATTTGACATGCTCCAGCCATGCAATATATCCTTGTAGACGTGATGGAATTTCACATTTGCAACGTGATACATTTCCTATTACTGAATGTACCGGGTACAAAAATACGTTCTTGAAGAAATATTCTATGATCTGTTATATAATAAGAAGTGACGAGCAAAATGTAAGACAAAAGATAGGAATGTAATATTGATGCTGTTATCGGAATCCACCGATTGAAATATGGAAATTTATCTCACTGCATTCTTTATTCCATTTATACTTTCCTTGCTATTCTGTGCAAATATAAATTTATATTTTAAAATAATATAAAACAGATTAAAGCTGTGGATAGTTTGAGATTAATAAAATGGAATTAATTAATCGCGTTTAATGTATTAGTCGTCTGTTATGCTTACCTGCGCAATGACGTTGTGGAATATAGAAGGCACGGAATCGCTAGTGCTGATGAGATTCCCCAAATTAAAATTAAAATAATCACCGTTCTCTTGCGAGACATATGGTGTCTAAGGGGATGCATAATGGCCATGTATCTGCAACAAACGGCATAACGACTGCTACTTAATATTCTCCTCCAGAATCGAGCAAATTGCGGAGACAACATTCCTTTAATTTTAAATTTCTCTAGCGTAAAAACTTCAGAAATTTCCATTTCGATGTCATAAACATTATTTTCAAAAACGTGAGAAACATTATTTGGCCGCAAGAATCTTGATAATTATAGTAAAAGAAATAAAAATATAAATAATTGCATTTATTTATCTATTATTTTACAAGTATTATTTTTCTGTTTGTTCTTTGATTCTAATATTTTATTCCAACGTTAATGTTTCATTGATTTCTTAATGTTTATTCGGTAGTGAAAAATTGTAGCTTTCAATTTTTTGCGTATGCTTTTAAAAACTCAATTATTCACGTTACGCAAACAATTTACACATAAGAGCGCATACTTTGGGTAATTTTATGTAATCCAATAACCAGAAATTCAATCGTACAGAGTAAGCAATTTTATGCCGCAAAATACGATTGCATGTAATGAAAATAAATTGCTGTTGCGAATTGCATCGGTATTTTGAAAGAGATGTATACATCCCTCTCATATATTAAAAGTAACACAAAGTGTCCCACAAAGCGTAATTATTTTAGTTTATTGAAATATATTACGATGTGTATAATTGCTGCAATAACTCAGTATGCACATATCTCGTGATCAACAATGCAAATACATCTGTAAATCTCCCGATTTTTTTATAGTAAATGTAGCTAAACAATACATCAATACTTTTTAATAAATTTTACATTTGCAATATAACCATAAAGATGATATTTGATAAACGTATTTATATGATAAAATAAAATCTTATGCAATACCACCTAATAGTGTCTGACAGACGCGCGCAAAGTTATAACAATCGATCGTAACAACGAAACAACGCAATATTACTGCTAATTGGAGTTGTCACGCAACTAGAATGACGTAACACACAGTGCGTTCACAAATCATCGTATGTTTTGCACAAACATTTGTCTGATTAAACAAGTCGCTTGCAGCATTAACATTATTGCTCTTATAACTGTCATGCATACACGCAAAAACAGTTTACAAGTTTAATCAAACATATGTAATATAATTATTGATTAATCTTTAGTGTTAAGCTTATGGATATGACGGCATTACTTCATAACGAAATTTTAATTAGGATTTAATTACTTTCTAAATACATAAGGAATTAACAAAGAGAGAGAGAGTTGCAAGCTTTCAAACAAAAGTTGTTTTTTTATCTACATCAGAGAAAAATTGAAAAATAAATATGGTAAATGTCACAATATCCGAATATGTTACATATGTCCGTTACATATGTTACACAATATTTGAATATGTCGCAATATCTGATCACATGTCAATAAAACAGTTATTATTTAATATTAAATATAAAATTCATAGAAATAATATTAAAAAATTTTAAAATGATGATACACGCTTATTAATTGAGTCTTAGCTTGTTCTAGTGCTATTTATTGATATATCTTACATCTAATTGTCGTATGTCTTACATATAGTTGTCGAACGTTTCGGCTCCTTTTTTTGGGCCTTCTTCAGCGAATCTAATTTTTGTTGCGTCTCTTAGTTAAAATTTACTGTTTGTTTTTGGTGTGGTTCTATTTTGTCCGTTTTTGTGAACTTATTGTCCATCCTTTGCTTTTTTTCTTCCAGTGTGTCAGACATGGTAACCGTTGATTTTTATTTGTTGGTTTAATGTTCTTAATTTACTTAATTTTTCTGACTGGCTGGATTGATTTTTATTGGGACTTGTTGCTTTGTGTGTTGCTCATTTCATACTGCTCATTTTATATGTAAGACATACGACAATTAGATGTAAGATATATCAATAAATAGCACCTAGAACAAGCTAAGGCTCAATTAATAAGCATGTATCATCATTTTAAAGTTTTATTGAAAAACTGAGCCTAATTAAAAAAATTCTTTTTATAATATTAAAAAACTTCAGTAAATTTTAATTAAGATTTAATTACTTTCTAAATATATGAGAAATTAACAAAGTACAAAATTATTTCTTTTATTTACGCTAGAGAAAAATAAATAAGATAAATCATTGAATAATAAATAAAGTAAATCACAATATCCGAATATGTTACAATATCCGATCATATATTAATAAAACATTATTATTTATAAATATAAAATTTACAAAAATAATATTGTTATAATATTAAAATAAAAAACTTTAGTAAATTAGATTGCATGCAAAACAATTAAGAATTGTTATGTAATATTTAATTATATAATAATTAATATAATGAGCTGTGATATGAGATAATAAAACTACATCATGTTAGACAGATTCTCTGTTTAGATTCTTAACGACTTTACTAATTGTAAGAGCAAATGATATTTTACAGCTCTGGAAGAAAGCATTTTTTATCGGTTTTAAAAACAAATTTCTGAATTTTTTAATTAAAAGGTATTTTTTGTATATATTTTATATTGTGTCCGTATACTGGTACATATATATATATATAAATATATAAAATAAAAACAATATTATTTTTATAAAAAAATTATATTTTTACTAATGATTTCTTTTTATATATAAAAATGTTCGGATATTGAGAGACTTTTAATATTTTGATATTGAATTGAACAAACAACAAGAAAAAGAATAATCGGTTAATACAGTTTTATATAATTAAAATTTTATCCCTTGTCGTGCAAAAATTATTTTAATGGCAGTGTTGGATTTTCACATGAACATAACAAGCTTCATCAATTAGTCAACTGCAAAAATGAGAGGGAAATACCTAAAGTGAATCGTTCGTGAGAGAAGTTCGTAAATTTAATTATGTGTTTTATGGTAGTTTCACTCGACCGTCGCCGATTTAGTTTCAACGGGACAATAAACATCCTACGTTTGAAATACGAATCCTGTTCATTTACCATGCAATAAACTGCGAGTTTCCAGTGAGAAACTAAACTTGACAATTACTTTTACACTTTATGTACTTACGAGATCCGCGAAAGCTAGGACGTACAAGTCTACAATAGAATTCCTCGTACAAATACGATTCAAACAATATCAGTGATGGTGCTATGGCGATACAAATACGACTAAAAAAAACAAAATCACATGAGTTTATAAAGATCTTTTAATTTTAGAACTAAAATTGCAAGTGTCGGCAAATATCGCATGCATGTAGCGTGTATATGTTGGAAAGTGTGATATTTCATGTCCATCATTAAGTGTACAGTCGAGTTGTTTGCACATCGAGCCTGCCAATCATCCTACATGCATGCTAACAATTAGAAGTTCTTTGAAATGTTAACAATTCGTCTACCATGGAGATTTGACCGTTCATCAAATTTCCAGTGAAAAATCAAATGACGAGATTTACCATTTCACCTGCTTTTCTGTTATAAAACATTCTATTGCTACCATGATAGATCAGCATTAATAAATTTAATAAATGTAAAGTCAAAATTGTTTTAAATCGTAAATAAACAGATATAATGATAGATATAATAAATAATACAGACATTTAATAAATAAAATCTTACTAATTAATTTTATATGCAATTTTTGTTAATAGAAATTTAGTTGTGTTATTTTATATTACAAATCAACAGGCTATAACTGATATCCACTAATCGAATTTATTAATACTACTAAAAAAACATTTTCGAATTGTATAAAAATCGTATAAAAATGCACTTAAACCGTAATTTTCACTTTTTCTTGATCGCATTGTGAAGAAATGCAGATAAATGCAGCCGTCACCGTCACGTATTGTACACTAGAACAATAAGGGATATAGACGAAACACCTGCATTGTTTTCCCTGCGAATTTTTCGAACGCAATGCATAGGGAACTACCATTGTGAGCTGTATTTCAGATCCGCCGTCGAAAGCACGACGACATTTTGCATCGTGAAAATGCATTCTGTGTAGACTGTAAGAATTACTCAGGTACAAGCGTGCAAATGGTTATACCATCGTGCTGTCTGCGAAAATGCATTAAGTCATTTGTCATGAGTCACAATGCTAATACACTTATGCTCCGGGCGTACGCGAAATTTGAATATAAAAGTTCTTTTAAAAATAAATCAATTTTTATATCTGCTAATATTATTATTTTCTTTTTTTCAAGATTACAACTTATTTTACGCAGAGATTTAACTACATGTTAACGAAGGAATTATTTTAATATCTTATTTGTATGATTAACTCAAACTAAGTACTGAATTATATTTATTTGAGTAGATAAATCAACAAATTATGCAAATCGCGCGTGTCATTTGCAAACTTCCACTTATGTTAAACTCGCACTAATATTAGTGTAACGTATGTCGTTTATCGCGTTGAATTATGTGTTTTATTTTCTAACATTTTACATGTTAACATCATAAAATCTATTTTTATTTTGTTTAAAAAAAGTTTTTCAGATTTATGTTTATGTCAATTATTAATAAGCTAATGTAATAATGTTTTTATATACATGTTTCCGGATTAAAAATGTTTTAACGATAAATTACGCGCAGATAAGTTAATTTCTAGAATTTTCATCTTTAATTATATAATGTAATTATTATTTGACATTACGAAGAGAAATGTTATTCCACCACAAGAGAATACTGAAAAGTTAAATATTATTAACTAAAAATATTATTAACTAAAAAATAAAATTACAAGAATATAAAATAACAGATCGTTTTTATTATCTTAGAATTTTGCAGTAATTAAATTTATACTAACTCCGTTTATTAAAAATTATAGTCAGCTTTGTCACACTTCTTGTTTGGTTATTTAAGGGTCAATGGATAAATGTAATGAGATACGCAGGTGTAACTTGTTACGGAGAGATAAAAGCTCTAAAGTAGCGTCTAATGAATGTTTAATGGATTTGAAATCTAATTTCCGCTACATTGGCGGCCCGACCCACGCATACACAAACCGCAACATGAGAAGCATAGCTATTCAGTGCCGTTCGAATTTCGATTTCTCTTGTATCAACATGA